CTAACTTTTCAAACTGAGTTAAAAAGTTTTCCATGATTTCATCTCTGTCGTTAAACATCGGCATTGTTATCTAAACGTCTATCCTTTGATCTTTTGCTTGGAGGTCTTGAATGTTCGTTCAGTTCTTCGCTCCTCCTAGATTCCGCTTCGACCCTTAGTCTCTCCATGGCTAACGAATGTTCTCTCTCCATGGTTCTTTCTTCGGCTTGCAATCTGGCTAACTCGATTTCTCTTTTATTCCCCATTCTTGTCTTCCTCTTTATTTTTCTTTTTCCTCGGCTTGTCTGATTCTTTCCTTCTCTGCTGCTTGCTGTTCTTTGTATTCCCTGAGATTCCGCTCTACAAATTTCGCTAAGTGGGTTCATTCATAACCTAACTGGTCTTTAACAATAGACTTAAGCTCTTTGACTAACTGCCTATCGATTGACATTATAGTCTACTCGACGTTATCACCAACCAATTTCTTAGCTTAAGTATTTACTAACTTCTTACTGTCTTACAGGAAAGAACTTCTTTAAGAATACCTACCTGTATTCTATTACAGTAAAGTCTTAACCCTATGGACTTACTTTATTCACACTAAAGCAACATCACAGCGTTTCGCAGTATAAGATTGTGAATTTCTCTTATAATTTCAGCTTACTCGCACCAACAATGTGCATTTACTCCCTCGGTACTTCCTTAATTATCTCTTCTCACAAGAGTAACTAAAGGCAATATTTCTTTTTGAATTACCTGAATTCGGACAACGATCACACTAACAAAGCAGTTCAGGTACGGAATATTAATTTCTTAAATGTCATAACGTATATTAAAGAAAATATCAAGCAATGGCATACACTAACTGCAGAATGCAAAAATATTGACTCAATTCACCTTTGTAATTCCTTGCTTATTAATAAACAAATTTATCACTGCTATGGTACTCTACTTTCTATTCAATATCTACTCAGCCTCTGTCACTCACACTGTTCAAAATATCCTGGATGATTATCCCTACTTTGTAACGTTGTCCATCTTCGTAAAGATTTGGAAGTCTTTATCTAAAGGATGACCTCCCTCGATTTTATTACCCGATGTGATTGGAACGATAAGACATCAATGAAGAACTGAGCAAGACTTTTGAGAAGAAATAATTCAATACAAGCCCCCTTTAGACAAGAAAATAACAATTTAATCAATAACAAAAATAATAGTGTCAGGTTCAATTCAAACAAAATTTACGTTAACAGAATTTAATAGCAGTGTACTATTGTGGATTTATTTCGTCATGTTAACGAGTGATGAGAAGAGCACAATCTCCACGCCTGATTTGCATCATCTACAGTAGCTTTCTCTCTTCGTCTCCGTGTATCACACGTCCTCCCATCTTGACGTATATACGTTAATTTTCCTTGATCTTTCCATTCTGAACGCTTCATCTATTTTCCGGACTTCCGTCTTAGGACTGTCACCGTATGTTCCTGGGAGCTGTTTCCTTAATGCTGTTCTTTTCAGCAATTGTGCGTCCATGGGTTAAAATCCGTCTTTTCTTTCAAGACAGCCACCTGATCCCTTTTACTTGTTTTAACAAGGAAAGCACTATTATTTAGGTTTTCCCTAAGCTAAATCTTAACCTCTCGCAGTAAATTATGGGATTAAAGAATTCGACCAAGGTCGTCACTTTAAGTTCACATCACTTCCAATGTGTACACCTTAATTTGAACTGACCAATCGTATTCAGAGGTTCCTAAATTTTCCCCAAGATAATTATTGAACCGTCACAAAGACATTGCTGGCTTGACTGGAATAAAATTTTAATGCAAAATGTATTCAATTTTAAAGTTCAATACTTGTTCAAAATTTGACACATTACAGACATAAACCAAAACCAAACTGCATTTGGACTTCAGCCAACTAAATATGTTTATGATGAGGATAGTTTCACCTTTGTTAAATAATTAGGAGTGTAAGGTTGACAGCAGGTACGTAAATAATGATCGTTTGAATAAATTCCTATCACAGATGAAGTAAATATTGCAAAAGGTCTGAAAAAAGAAATAATTGCAAACAATAGAATGCAATTTAGCATTCTCAGTTCAGGACAAGCATTGATACGAATGGTTTGTTTGGGAAATTTATGGAAACACTCGAGTCTATTTTTCAGGTTGAACGATACTTGAGGATAATGTAAATGATGTTATTATAGGTATTCTAACTGCTTTTACGAAAATAAAGAGATAAGAAAATGTATTCAGAAACCCCAAAACCGGTTGACATATGCTGATATGCAGGAAGTTGTTGTTGTTTTATATGAGAATTCAGCTATGGAAACAATTTTAAAGTTTTATTCTTCTTACAGAAGAAATAGCATCCTGAAATGTGTAGAAATGTCCAAAAATGTGTAGAAATGTCCAAAAATGTGTAGAAATGTCCAAAAATGTGTAGAAATGTCCAAAATAATGATAACAACTATTTTATGTTGACACTTTTTGTCAGCTTTATTTATTGCCGATAACGGTGCTTATGGAAGACACTAAAGTACAAAGATTATGCTGAGAAGTTAATCAGTTTGACGAGATTATGATCCCTGTTTCATTATATAACAAATAAGTCAGTGTTTGTTTAGTTGGGATCTTTATTTTCCAAAAGAATTAAAAGGGAGAAAGAACACTTCTATGAATCTATTAGCGATATCAAATGGAAACCAAAGCGTTGCGTGATGATCAGTAGCATCGCACGATTTGTGTATGGCAGTTACAAATATAAACATGAAAACATCTATGCAAACGTTTTAGCAGAGAAAAAATTCTTGTAAACCATAAAATTGATTTAAAATGTATAGAATTAAAGTGTCAGCTAACTGTGCTACCCAGAAAGGTAGAAAATATCCACATATTTAAAAATTGTCAAGATGAGGTTAAAAAACTATGTTATATATTCGATTCTGAAATAGCTAATGAAAAGCCAACACCAGTAATTGGGATAGTATATGACTGATTGACGAACTGCCATCTTGTAAATATGCTTATAGTATGGAGAGATCTGATGGAATAGTCATAAATAAGGTGTTTTACTGTGGACAAAATGCTGCTGAAAATGACTGATAGGGATAATCTGCCTTAAATCAACAGATGACTATAAAAAGGCCACTGCCACAGTACCGATATATATATATATATATATATATATATATATATATATATATATATATATATATATATATATATGTATGTATGTATGTATGTATGTATGTATGTATGTATGTATGTATGTATGTATGTATGTATGTATGTATGTATGTATGTATGTATGTATGTATGTATGTATGTATGTATGTGTGTGTGTGTGTTATAACAAATGAGTTTTATTCATCATACCTATAAGTGAGATAACAGACCAGGACTTCTTTCACGCACAAAATGTATGGTCAAAAAGAAATATGAACGGTATGGTTTTCACAATTTGAACTTCTAAATGATATCGATATGCATTTGTTCATCACAAAAGGGATCCAAGTCAGAATTAGTTTGGTAAGTAATAGATTTTCCAAAGCCAATAAAAATTTGAACTGATGACTCTGATCCTGCCCAAGAAAAATAACAATATAAGGTATAGATGCAACAACTTATAGAATTTATTAATGGTGAAGGTTTTACCAACATCTACATTGAAGTTGGTAAAACCGGATAAAATACCTTTTCTTGTTGATGTGTCTCAAGATCACATTTTGGAAGATGATCTAGAGTGTACACATGAATTGCATGACTCTAGTGGCGTTCATGTGCTGTCCCTGAGAAAATACAGGTCGGGAAAAATGACTGCGTGAATATCAGGTAGCCGTAATCAATGAATAATACAGATTTCTTTATTGTGATAAGCAAGCTCCAAATTTAATGAATAAAAAATACGTTATTCACTACAGCAATCTAAAATTATATTTGGATCTAGGCATGAAGATAACAATAGGGAGGTTTTACAGATTATTCTGTCATAAATGAATGGAGCTATACATTCAAGCTGAACACAAATAAAGGGTGAGTAAAAAATTTAAAAGTAGTTTTTGAAAAAGATTTATTCAAAATGACGAAAGCGTTGTCCTTGGAAAACAAACAATATGAGAAGTTAGACATAGGGTTGATTTTGAAACCGTCAGAATTTAGAAAACAACGAAAATCAAAGTAATCACATGAGATACGGAGTGTTTATCAAGACAAATATTTGAGGAAGATTTGGTAGCAACGGTAATTGACTTTAAAACAAATGCCAAACATACCTAACCGGGCATAGCTGATCTAGGTTCTTGAGGTATGAATTTTATTAAAAACGTCTTATAAAGGAATATGGCGAAAATATGAATATGTTATACACAGACAAATATAGCCTGTTAGTAGTAGTCAATAGGGAAAATATTTAAGATGACATGAAAAATACAATAGCTAGGACTATAAAATGAATAATTATCGAAGTGATGATCATTTTTTTATTGCTGCACATAGAACAGAAATAGAGAGATTCAAAAAATGCGTCCAATGGGAGACCATTGAAAGAAGTTATTAGATTCATGCCTTAATTGCACCCTTCTTCAATTGATGATAGTCAATATGAATAAAGCTAGAAGTGTTTTATGACCAAAGGCAAAAATGATTTACATCCTGCACTTAGGTATATGAAAAAGGAGAAATCAAGGATGTGATGCATTACAGAAAGAACAAAATTCACCCTATCATATTATGCGAGATAGCTAAAACAAGCCTTCCAAATGGATTCCAAAATCTTGCTTTCCGGCGGTGGGGTGGTGTTTATAGCTTTAACAATTTTTCAGTCATATCGCTACGATGTCTGCAGTGTGGCAGTTTATAGTGATGTCTAGCACTGCGGCATCATACCGCAGACATGTAGCATGATGTCCCACCCATTCACATTCTCCTGACACCAGGCCGACCAGTCCTAACACTAACATTTTAATGCTGAGCGTTAAGCGAGGTAGCTGTTAGTACCATTTTTGTAAGTCTTTGGTATGACGCTATATGGGATAGAACCCACGACCTCCCGCATCCGAGGCGGACGCTCTAACCACTAGGCCACCCGTATTATACAATAAGATTGTAATCATTAAGGAAGAACGTTTATCCTTGAAGAAACTCATGCTCAGAAAGTATTAGTGATCCTAAGATCCTAAGATAAGCCCCCAATCCCTCCAAAGCATATTCATCAGTTATCTCAAACTGCTTCTAAAACACAAACTTTGCACAGCAAGAACAGTACAAATGTTGCCAAGCCCACCTCGTAAACGCGTATATTGCCTTTAGCCTCTGCAAGGCACAAATACCTTCAAACGCATGGCTTAAAAGAGTATTCTCTCTGGGCACCTAAAACACTATAAACAACGCAGAAGCACATCCTGAAAATATATTCATTCGCTAGTCTCTAAAACGCATGAAAACATCAAAGATCGTCCTAAAACATATTCGTCCGCGAGTCTCTAAACGCATAAAGACAACAAAAGCACGTCCAAAAAATATCCATTCTAAGGCACCTGAAACGCAACAAATAATGCAGGCGCAAGTCCTAACACTAAGTTGGTATTCTGAAACACTGTCAACGTCATATCATTGAAAATCATAGATCATTTATATCCTCCAGAAGCACCATTAAATAAACCCATGCCGAAAAACTACTCCTGCAACGGCCGCTGTCATCAATGCGATGTTAAATACCCTTTTTATTGTTCCGTTTAGATGAAAAGTATTGCAGACAGTATGTTTAGCAACAAATTGATGTAAAGTATGTCGACTGGACACAATTCTACCAGAGCGTGTCATAGAGTGTCCATTGGACACGGTTCTATTAAAGCATGCCACATAGTGTCAAATGGACAGGGTTCTATAAAAACGCCCCTTATCAGTAAAACATTTTATGAAGCATTTTACCAGACCATAGTCTGATTGAGATCTCAAGGAACCACACGAGAGTCGGGTGGAGCGAGACACTGTGCCTTATCCGTACGGTATGTGTTGCTGCATTTTTCATGCTGTAAAAGATGTTTCAAGCATCTCTTGCGCCACTTTTTCTCTTATCCGATGATTTATGGTACAATAGACAATTCTCAGAATGTATTCATGTATGTGACCCTGGGTCAACGAACTCAAAACGAGGCTAAGCTAGGCACCAGCTTATAGATTTGTTACAACCAGTGGACCAAATTAAGACAGGTAAAGGTTTTGTTAAAATTAAAGAGAAAATTATTTTAATAAACAGATTAACAGAATATCCCATGCATAAAATGATAAAATGTTTTATTGTTTAGACATGATTCTTCCCTATTATGTTTACTTTATTTAATGTCTGCATGTACATATTGGGTTCTAAAATTCACACACACACACACACACCACACACACACACACATATATATATATATATATATATATATATATATATATATATATATATATATATATATATATATATATATATATATATATATATATATATATATATATGGCTTTCAAACAGTTTTGAACAAATAATACTGCTGTCGGTAAATATATAACTGCATGTCTGTTATTGAACAATAAAACGTGCTTGTATAAATGAAATCGTATATTCATATTGTCAGTTGACAGCAGATTCAGAAAAGTAACACAAATATGTCATTTAAACTGAAAATTACAGTCCCTTTCACTTCAGGCACTAACAGAAGCAAGCATCATAACAACAAACAGGTTGTGCACTTCTGATAAAAATTAAAATGCAAGCATACGGACGTGTACCCAAAACTATTTAAAATACACCACAAAGTCTATACTGGTTTGTGATATGTGGTTGATTATAATGGCATTTTGTTTTACTATGCACATTTTATAGATGTTTTATTCTGACCGAGTGTTTTGGTCACAGTATTGATTGATCATTGTTGTACATTGAAACCATAACTAATCAGAAACAAAATTCTTGCTTCAAATAGTTTCTTATCTCTATCATTAACTTGTATTTTGTGTGCTATAGAGAAAAACGACAATCAATGCGGTATGGTCGCGATCTGCATAAATGTGCCTCGTTTTCGCGATACATTAATATTCATGAGGATCTCATTAAAAATGGTCTATATCATTAGATACGCAAGATAAAAGACCACTATATATATATATATATATATATATATATATATATATATATATATATATATATATATATATATATATATATATATATATATAAGAACTGTTAGATAATGGATAATTATCTCTCCTGTCTGTAAGATTTGATTTGGATTAAGTACAACAAATGAAAAGTAGTTAATGTAACAACTAATATAGAAGTTAAGGTATCTAACATTTGTTTTATTGGACTTAACAACATTAATTTATTATTTTCTTGCAAGTACAGCATATAATGCCTTGTCTTGAAAAAAATTATTAATTTAAGATGATGCGTGCATCTGTAAAGTATCCGTAAACATACAACATTTTTGATGGAAGAGAGAAACAAATATCCCATAGGACTCATTGAAATACTAGGATCATTTATCACGACTGGTGCTGATCATTTAAAGCAAGGTGAAGGTTTCAATATCCAGCTGGCGTGGATAATGGTGAAATGAATATAAACATGTTTGTGTTTCAGAACATTGCAATAACATCTGCATTAGCGTTTGTGTTTGAATACATGAGCAGTGTAAATGAAGAAAGCTAAATCAAGACTTTGCACGTATTTCCCAAAATATGTGTGAATTTATTGCATGAGGTAGTAGAGAGCATGCAATTTATTAGCAAAGATGGTATCAGCAAAACTGTAGTAAGTGCTGTCTCACTAATCGTGTATGCATGCTTTACACAGAGAATGCAGGCTTCTACAACAATGTCTATTGGACTCATTAAAACACTAGTTGTGTTAACCGAATGGGATAGACTTATTATTCTATTTCCAGAACGAATATAGCTCCTCTATAACGAATGGAATATGTCTATTGGAAGAACAGCTACAACTCCCCTAAGGGGGCAGGGGACAGTTTTTATGTAAAAAAATTTAATGCCGCAATCAGTGACTTAGTACAAAAATTTATAAAAAATGAAATACACAAGTGAGGGCCAGAATGTCCATATTTTGAGAAACCTATATTAAAACAAAGCATAAAAATAATATCCACTTGACCAGAGAAGTCAGTGGCAGTTCATAGCAGAAAAAATTTATGCACCCCAACCCCAAATTTATACCTGAAATTTTCATGTCCGAAAGCCATTTTTGACACCATGTGGTGCTCACAGTGCAAACACAAGCCCTTTTCCTAGATGACAATTCTGCCAAACAGTGTGTACTAAACAGGCTGATGCAGTTGAAAATAGTTGTCATCCAAGCCGTTTTTGAGATATTCTCCTTGCCCCAAACCTACGTGTTTACTGATATGAGAGGCTAGCTCTTCTTCCTAGCCAACTATTGGTATTTCACTATCAAGATATTGCAGAGTAACTATGGAAGGTGTACATGTCTGACATCAAGTTCAAGAACAACACAAGCCCGAAACACCTAATTCAAAATATTTCCATATTTTTAATTAGTAGACAAGAATTGCTAAAAAGGTCATACCATAGCCTTTAATTAAGAAATTTGCCAGGGGCCAAATTACGAAATTGTACTCTGCCTCCTTAAGAATTTGGCTCAAAATGGTTTATGTCACAAGTTGTGTATATATCACATATTTAGACATCATCTAGTTTAATGGTATAAAGGAAAACCTTTTGTGCACAAAATTAAAAATGGTATTACGCTTTTAGAAAAGTGACTACTTTGCGGCAGAAAGCATTGCATTATTTACTTTGTGAGTTATGACTGACTGCATTTCTTGAAAGAGTTCAAATTGTTTCCAACCTACAATACTTTTGGTCTTTGTTTGCCACTATAGCACTAGGACAGAATGAAAATTCCTTTACAATCTTTCATGAATGTCAAGAATAGGTTTGGAATTTATAAATTTGAGGAGTAAATGACAGAAATGCAATGTTATTTGTCAGTGACAGAAGTGAAAAGTTTCTTTAAATTCTTCTAGCAAACATAAAGAAATCACACAATTAGGTAAATAATGTGCTTTGGAAGTACTTTTAGACTGATATAAAACAAGCAGTTCCTAACCTTTCATTATCATTCTGGAGATGCTAATAGAAGCATCAATGTTGTGAGTGTGTGTGTGTGTGTGGGGGTAATCACAACAACAGTCTAGCTAATCTGGAAAGATCAAAATTTAATCAATCAACATTAGACCATGCTAGCATATTAACATACAGATGTGTGGACCCAGTTAATCTTACAAATGGACATATCAAATAACTTCATTGATGATACAAAGCCACTGAAATTGACTATATATATACAATTACTCAACACAAGATAACATAAATCTCTTCTCAGACACCAATTCACTTACAACTGACTTTAGTGATTTCTGGAGTTTACAAAATCATAGTAAATAATAAGATAAGCTAGAGAACAAATATTTACAGTGGAAAATTCAGTTGAAGGTAAAATTATTTCACTTGCTTGGCTTTTAATAAGCTCATACCATAAAACAACTCATGTAGAAGCTAAATCTATCCGTCAAAGTCTCTCTCTTATGATCACAGATCAGAATGAGTATCCGGATGAGATTCAAGCTATTGTTTCTTTCAACATGACTAACCAATTAATCCTAATCTTCTACCATGCAAACTGAGACCTGCAAAAAGAAAAGAAACAAGTGATATTGATATACTTCTTTTAACATTCAATGAAAACAAGAATTTCAGAGGATAATTGTCAAATGCATGAAACTGCCACTTAATTATAAGCTTTTCCCCATTGTTAACAGAACCTAGAAATTTCAAGATGTACATATAACACTGTAACATTGCCTATTATCACCGAAGTGTGAGATATGAACCTCATGTCAACTTCACAGTAGGCTCATGAAGGTTGAAACTATGTCGGAGTACTACAACTTTCATTCTTCTCACCAAAATATAGCAAGCGATAGTTGTCATCCATATGCATCATTATTTCTAAGACCATTCCACTGGTGACATTCAATATTCACAAGAGTATGCTTATGCATTAT